AAATCAAACCACCAGGTTGGGGACTTGAACCAACAATGACTGGCCATGTGGGAGTCCAGTGCCTTAACCACTATGCCACTTGCTGGCCCTTTATTTATTTTTTAAAGAGATTTTTGCTATAGGGTAGAGATAGAGACAGAAAGTGAGAAATCACCCTCTAGGGGGATGGCCACACTGCAATCCCTTGTATTCTCCTCTTAGGATCTTGGGCGTGCATGCACAGGAAACCAGTGTGAGCTTTTAAACCACCAGATATGGGACTAGAACTGTGGTTGACTCCGTGGGAGTTCAGTGACGTAACCATTACATCATCTGCTGGTCTCGTCACTTAAATTTTTAAAATTTTATTATTTTTTATTAAGAGATTTATGCACTTGCCAGACAAAGAGAGATAGAAAGTGAGAAATCACACCCTCAAGGGGAATGGCCACGCTACAGTCCCTTCTCCTTCAGTCTCTCTCTTGGGATTGTGGGTATGCACACCATGCATCTGGCATGAGTTTTAAGCCACGGGGTCTGGGACTCTAACTGCAGTTGACTACGTGGGAGCCCAGCAACATAACTATTATGCCATCTGCTGGTCCTCTTGTCACTTTATTTTTAAAGTTAATTTTTATAAAAACATATTATTGGTCAACATATAATGGATTTATTATTTTTTAAATGACTAAACATTAAATTCTTTTCAATTTAAATTTCAGATACGGTAAATATTGATTGGTATAAAATTTCTTTGGTGTGCTCAATAAATTTTAAGAGTGTTGGGACCAGCAGTTGGCGTAATGGCTATGTTGTTAGACTCCTATGTAGTCGACCACGGTTCGAGTCCTGGAACCCTGTGGCTTAAACTCATGCTGAGCGCGTGTGCATGTGTGCCCAAGATCTTGAGAGGAGAATGGAGGAGAAGGGGTTGCAGCGTGGCCATCCGCCCAGGGGGTGATTTCTCTATTTCGGTCTCTCTGTCTCTCTCTGTCTTTCTGGCGAGCGCAGGCACCCTATAGCAAAAATCCCTCAAAAAAAATTTTTTTAAGAGTGCTAAAAGGATACTAAGCCATAAAGTTTGAAAACCGGTGATTATGTGTTTATGTGTTATTTAATTATTAGTTAACTGGTTGTTTGGTTTTATGTGGAGAAATATTGCCTAAAATCAGGATCAAATCTTACCTGTTCTTAAAAATGGTTTTGTTCAATATTTATATATTGATGATTTAACTTTCTTTTTTCTCTTTTCCTGAGAAACAGTTGATTTAGCTACTATTTAAGGTTCCAGAAGCCTGCAAAGTGATCCATAGTTGTCTATGGCACAACTTGTAATTTCCCATCATCAGAGTTAATGGACATGCCTGCCTGAGAAGAATAACATGTTAAAATGCCTATTGCTTTATCAGATTTCTCAGAAGAGAACAGGGAAAGAATTTCTTTATCAGATTTCCCACCAGAGAACAGGGTCTAAGTGATGAGAGGTATAGAAAAGGTACATTTTGGCAGCTAGGAAGCAACTCCTGTATCAAGTAGATCCAGAGGATAACAATGGAAGAATACTGCTTAAGGATCCAGATTTTGGTATTCTTCAGATATGGTCTGTGTCTCAACTACAGGACTGGCTGCCTTACCTAGAGGTGTTAGCCTGCTTCTCAATCTGCAAATGAATAAAAACAGTATCTATACCACAGGGTGATTATATACAAACATTACGTTGTATATAAAGTGCTAGCACAGTGCCATGGACACAATTATTTGTCGTTCTTAGGTTAGTGGAGAAGGAGGGTCTTTTGAGCAGAAATGGAGAAAGTAGTAAATTTTGTTTACTTCACATTTAACCTAGTGATGGTTCTGTCTGCCTTATTTTTGTTTGTTTCTATATTGTCTATTCATAGTTCTAAGTAAGTTCTTGAACAAATTTTTATTTTGTTATTTTTTGGTATTATACCATAAAGTTTTCACTCTATTTCCATAGCAGCAGAAAAGATCATTTTCCAACCCACTTTTGATAGGAACACCTTCTTTCGAGGTTAAAGCAAGTTCACAGTAGCTTAGGACTAAACTTTTCAATTATACTAGTCTGCAAATAAAACAACGGAAGAACTCTGAGGAAGCAGTGAGCTTTCTAAATCCAGAAAAGCTTCAAGGTTACGAAATAGGGAAATTCTGTCAGAAGCTTGAACCTAAACGCAGAATGTGAAAAAAACAACTCCCAACTCACAGTGGTCCAGTTCTCTTCTCACTAACTCCTTTTTGCATAACCAACGCGAAAACGGGTACCACGGAGGTGGCTGCAGGCACCATAAATTCCTTAACAGACTCCAGTGTTCGGCGTGGAGGGGAAAAGCCAAAGGAAATGCCTGAGGGCTTCTGGGAGCCTTCCCAACTTTCCCGCCTAAATGTCACGGGGGCGGGGCCAGAGGCCACTGCGGGGCGGGCCCGGGGCGGGGCGAGTGACTTTCTCCGCCCCTCCTCACGCCTCTTTCTCCATGCCCCGCCCACCCGCATTTCGCCACGATCCCGACAGGCCCAGCGGCTGGGAGAGTCACCAGAGGGTGGGCAGTGGGGGTGGAGCTCGTCTCTGGTGTTTCTTCTCTATGGTTGTCAGAGGTGGGCTGTTCTGACCGAAGAGCGACTAGAGATCGGGCGTGGACGGGTGAGTCCTGCACTCTGAAGGGTGTGAGGAACAGCCATTTAGGGAAGGCGAAGGGGAAGAGGGTGGCAACAGCTCGAGGAACCTGACTCCGGGGCCAGCTGTTTGGCCCTAGGATCCGGCGACTTCTCAGGTCCGGCGGAGTAACTGTCCCTCGCTGATGTGTTCTTCCAAGGGTGCCGAGAGGAGTCCTTAGTTCTGGTTCTCTTGCTCTGCTTTCCTTCTCTCCCTGTCCCGGGAGAACTTCTCCAGGGCGGGCTTCCGAACATCTGGGCTGGCTTTCTTGGGCGCCGGCATCCCACTCCTCACGGGCGATCCGGAGGCAGGTATCCTTGACTGGCTGTCCTGGCATTCGTGGATGTTTTTCCAAGTGGGTGGCGGAGTTTCCAGTTGAACTTCTGATGAGGAGAAATACCCCTTACTGAATCGAAGAAAGGAGGGGACAGTCTTTGGTACCCAAAGGAATAATACAAAGCGCAGGTTTCATGATCTGTTCGGGTTTTTATCTTTCCCCGCGCCTTCTTGTTCTCATTCTTTCTCCCTCTTCCTCCCCCCCCCCCCACAAAGCTGCTTTCTCCTCATCCCACCCATTCTGATCCATCATATGGTTTGAGAACGAGCCAGGTATTACTGACTATGTGATTGTATGAGAGTTTACAACGGAGTGTTCTTTAAGTTGCTCTCTCTGTATTACGTTTTATGGCCTTTTTACTTTCTCTTTTAGATGCTTAAAAAATACTTGCAGATCTTAGTTAATATCAGTAGGATAACTAAGGGACTAGAATAAAATCTTTTATTCTCCTGGGGATACTGTGGAAAAACCCATTTTTCTCCCCGTTTTTTATAGGTAGATGCTTCACTTTTTTTGGCAGCTTCTTTGATATACCTTTGTTTATGTTAAACCATCGCTTTAGGTCACATGCAAAAGTGATCTAGCAATAGTGTAAGAAAGGAATTTGCAGAAGGGTGAAACAGCTTTGGAGTTGATAGCTTAAGGAGAGTTTAGGTTTTATTAAGTTATATGACAAATTAAAATGTCAACATTTTGAAACAAAAATGTTGGTCAAAATGACTAATCCACGTCTTTCTAGTGGAGACAAAATAATAGGCTTTCATATATTGCCATTTCCTAAAAACTTAAAAGTCTACTGCTACTTGTCTGTGAGAGGTAATTCTGGCCCCTAGCTTGGTTAATTCCTGATTATCTCTTCCACTTAAAGACATCACTCTGGCTTCCTAATTATGTGTAGAAATTGTCCTTGACATCCTCTGTCTTTTCACTTTTTTTAACAAAAAGTGAAGATGCAAGAGTAGCTTATGTGCCCCTGTGAGAAAAGAAGTGATAAAAACTGATAAAAGCAAGAGAACAAAAGCATTTATTGCATCTTCCTTTATACTCTAGGGTATTTCAGTAGACCTTGTATATTCCTAAAGAGTACATCTTGAGACTGACTTTTCTATATTTAATAAAACAATGATATGTAATTTCTCCCATAATGTAATAGTATGTAAAATAATTATAACTGGAATATTTAGCTGACCAACCCCTTCAGTTCTTATATTATTCAGAATTATAGGACTACTGTAATTGATAAAGCTTTTTTTTTTGAGAGAGAGAGTTGTTTGTTTTTTTGGTTTTTTTTTTTTTTTTTGCTATAGGGCGCGTGCGCTCGCCAGACAGACAGAGACATAGAGACAGAAAGCGAGAAATCACCCCCCAGGGGGGATGGTCACACCGCAATCCCTTCTCCTCCATTCTCCTCTCCGGATCTTGGGAACGCAAGCACACGCGCCCGGTGTGAGTTCTAAGCCACCAGGTCTGGGACGCAAACCGCCGTCGACTACGTGGGAATCCAGCGACATAGCCATTACGCTAACTGCTGGTTCCCTGTGATTGATAAAGCTTTTTTAAACCTGAGTTTTGTCACTCTTCCTGTTTAAAGTTAGTTGTACCTCTTGAATAGTTTTTACATCACTTACTGAACATTAACTATTTTTCTCCAGATAGAGTTAATGTATTTCTTTTTAAGTGATAACTATTCTTTTAAAAAGACTTACTTGGCCTGGCTCCATAGCCTAGTGGTTAAGGGGGCCATATCCCACAAGGTCAACTGCTGTTCATATTCTTGTCTCAGTGGCTTGAAAAATATGCCAGGTGCATGTACATGAGTTCCCAGAATCTTGGCAGGATGAAGAAATGGAAAAGGGATTGAGTATGCCCCATTAGGGAATATTCTCTCTCTCTCTCTCTCGCTCGCTCGCTCGCTCGCTTGCTCGCTGTTGGTCACTCTCACTGGTGAGTGCATGTGCCCTCTAGGAATTAAAAAGAAAAAGAAAGGATTTACTCATAGCTTTCTTTCCAATCCCAATGAAAGTAAGTTTATTATGTGCTAAGGGGGAAAGGTGATTCTTTTTAGACAGATATTCTTACTTTGGTAAGAGAAAGCTGTTAATGTTTTTATTTTAAATTTCATTTATTATTATACCGTGGTTGGCCGTGAGGGTATCCAGCACCTTAACTACCATGCCACCTGTTGGCCCCCTGTTAATGTTTTTAAGACACTATATATGACTTTCTGAGTACATTGAGAAGAAAACACAGCAGCAGGATTTAAAAATTTTTATATTTCCCGTTGTGAAATTAATACTATACTTACTTTTGAAATATGGGAATATTATAGAAAATATCACATTGAGGGCCAACTGAGGGTGTGGTGGTTAAGACACTAGATCCCATATGGCTGACTATGCAGTTTGACTCTCTGACCTGGTGGCCTGAAAAACACCCCAGGCCTGTATGTATGCATCAAAATGCTTAAATGAGGGAGAAAAGTTAAAAGAGTTTGCAGGAAGACCATTCCCCATTGGGAGGAGGGGGACATGTTTTCTCACTGCCTCCTTCCAGGGAGTACATGTGCTCTCTGGCAAAATTTAAATAAATAATTAAAGTGAAAAGACATTTAAAACATATATAGCACTGAAAGTCAAAATTGTATTTTATCTTTTCTTTTACTAGTTTCCTTTGCATCTTTATTTGGATATCAGTAGTGTTGGACTCCCTGGTAGTAAAAATCACCATCTTAATTCCTACAATCTCAGAAGCTGGAGAAAATAGAACCCTACTTTATTTATTTGAGCATACTGCTGAGTGGTAGCATCATTGTATTTCAGTCTTTGCCTATCCTAAAGGCAGTCCCTATGGGCGGATGGAATACTTTATGTGGCCAGGCTTCAGTTTTATTCCCATCCTGGAGTGGGACATAGGGACATAGGGGGATATGGTTTCAAACTATTTGAGTTTATGACAGTTCCTAAAGGAAAACTGATGTTACTTTCTAGAGAAGGGAGAATAGTTGCTAGACAGGCATAAGTGACAAATGTTCACCAAAATAGTTTTATATTTAATTATAAGAACTTGCTTTCCTTTCTCAATATTAATTAATTATGTTTACCCTGTGTGTATATTTGTTTTATTACCAGAAGACATGCATGCTCACTGGAGAGAGGGAATGAGAGAGAAAGAGAAAACACACCCATTGGGGCATGGTCATACCTTTTTCCTCCATTTCTCCATCAAATTAACACTGGGTGTTAATTTGAAAAGTACAGTTAAGGACTCACAAGTGGCACAGTGGTAGAATATGATGCTCTGTGAAGCAATCCCAGAAGGTTCCTGTTTCAAGTCCATAGAACTTCCTGAGTACACCAGGCACACAATCTAGGGCAAGCTGAAGCTGAGAGTGGATTGCAACATCAAGACCCTGTTGGGGGAACCAGCAGTTAGCATAATGGCTATGTCGCTGGACTCCCACGTAGTCGACCGCGGTTCGTGTCCTGGACACCGGGCGCGTGTGCATGCGTACCCAAGATCCCGAGAGGAGAATGGAGGAGAAGGGATTGCAGCGTGACCATCCCCCCTGGGGGGTGATTTCTCGCTTTCTGTCTCTATGTCTCTCTCTGTCTGTCTGGCGAGCGCACGTGCCCTACAGTGAAAATCTCTCCAAAAAAAAAAAGACCCTGTGGGGAGGAGGGGCTATCTTTCTCTCTTACTGTGTGTCTATCTCATTTTTGGAGGAAATAAGTAAATACATTTTTAAAAAATTATATAAAAATGCAATTAAAGTATAAGTTAAAAAAATGATAATTAACTTTTTTTTTAATTGGCCAGAGGGCACATATGCTTGCTGGAGAGATACAGAGTGAGAGAGAGAGAGAAACTGAGAAAACATTCCCTCATGGGGAATTGTCATGTCACAGTCCCTTGTTCCTCCATCTTTCCCTCCTTTTGGGATTTTGGACACTCATGCACACATGCCTGCGTGTTTCTCAAGCTGCAGGTCTCAGATTCAAACCGTGTGGTTGACCATGGGGGATCCAGCCACCTCAGTCACCATGTCACCAGCTGGCCCTCTAGTTAACATTAATGTTTGGTTTTATATCTTTGTATATTGTTCTGATGGTTCATTACATGTGTACTATATACATAAAGTTTTTGTGGTTGGGCACATGTGCTCTCCAGAGAGAGACCGAGTAAGAGTGGGAAAGTGAGAAATGACCCTCCAGAGGGCATGGCCATGCTTCAATCCCTTCTCCTCCAGTCTTTTCTGAGGATTTTGGGCACGCACATACACCTGACATGATCTTCAAGCTGCTAGGTGCGGGTCTGAAGGCACAGTCAGCCTGGGACTCAGCACCTTAACTTCCAGGCCACCTGCTAGCCTGGCTCATTATATTTTAAGAGAAAATATTGAAGCAACATATGTTCTTTTTTAAAAAATAATTATTTATTTGTTTAATTCCATTCATTATTATTATTTTTAATTTGACCAGAGAGAGATAGAGAGAGAAAGGGAGAAAGCAAGCCACCAGGTCCAGGACTTGAACCATGGTTGGCCATGTGGGAATCCAGTGCCTTTAAACACTACAACACCTGCCAGCCCCATATGTCTTACTTTTGATAGAAATGTCAGTAAGAGCAAGCCAGTGGTGTGATGGTTAAGGCT